GGGAGAGGCGAGTCCTGCGGGCAGGACGGAAGCGGAGAGGCCCCGCTGCTCCAGCACGCCCTGCTCACCACTGCGGCGCGCCCTGGCAGGCTATCAGATCCTCCACATGGATTCTAACTATCTGGTTGGCTTCACAACGGGAGAGGAGCTGCTAAAACTGGCCCAGAAGTGTGCAGGAAGTGACAAGAATAAAGGGGAATCTGGGCCGAACTTGTGTTCCAAACAGCTTGATTCAGGACTTGCACGTTCGTCCAGTTTGTACAAAGCTAGAAGTAGGTACTATCAGCCCTATGAGATCCCAGCAGTAAATGGGAGGAGGAGGAGACGGATGCCCAGCTCAGGGGATCAGTGCATCAAGGTTTTACCTCACGAACCATATAAGGCACTTCATGGTCCCCTGCCTCTTTGCCTTTTGAAAAGCAAAAGGGCTCATTCGAAATCCCTGGACTACCTCAATTTAGACAAAATGAGCATTAAAGAACCTGCTGACACGGAAGTGCTACAATACCAGCTCCAGCATCTTACCCTTAGAGGGGACCGTATGTTTGCAAGGAATAACACATGAGCTGTCACCTTGAATTTGGAACTTCTTTCTGCTTATTCCTCTGTTGCTGCAAAAACCCACTCTTGTACTGTACACACAACTGTCCATATGGTAGCAGCTAAAAGGTATCAGAAAGTAAATGATTTCAATAGATTTTTGGCCATGTGATGTGTTACAAATACTTGGAGAGAGATGTCTTTCCTGAGCAAGCAACTTCTGATGCAGATTTGACTGCAAGGGGTGGATATTTCTTTGTACACCTTCTAAAAAAAAAAGCTTTTGATTTTGGGATTTTTTTTTTTTTTGTACTGTTAGATTTAGTATTTACAGTAATTTAACACTGAAAAATTGGTGGACTGGTGGTCTGCTTGGTTGTTGCTGTTTTTGGCTTGATGTTAGAAACTAATCCTGGATAAGTACTCAATTTTAGGAGTTTTTTTCTTCTACTTTTTGTTCCTATATTCTACAGTAATATATATATATATATTATTTTTTTATGTCATGGAGAGGAAAGTGAGCTTGGCTAAATTGGATCACTTGCTATTTAAACATTCTCAAATTGCACTTGCATAGGTGATGAAGGTGAGATTCACTCATAAAACAAACCTTTCCTACTTGAATCCTATTAAGTTATTTTTTTTAGTTTCTGTATGAAAGTAATTGCTTTGCCTCCTCTTCTTTGAAACTTGTTCAGCATAAATATTTGTGTTATTTAAAAACAAGTCTTTTGGGAAGTGAGACTTTTGGGGTTTTTCTAAGCAGAATTTGTTTTTTACATTTTCTTGACACAAGTATTCACTGCAGGTAGCAGTAAATACACTGGAATGTCTACACTGGTATATCAGTGTTCTTTATTCTAATTAATAATTTCTGTAGTAATATAAGGTGTTAACTTCATTGATTTGGGTATCCAGTTGATCCGAGGGCTGGAGCAGCTCTCCTACGAGGACAGACTGAGAGAGTTGGGGCTGTTCAGTCTGGAGAAGAGAAGGCTCCGAGGTGACCTTATTGTGGCCTTCCAGTATCTTAGGGGGGCCTACAGGAAAGCTGGGGAGGGACTTTTTAGGATATCGAGTAATGACAGGACTAGGGGGAATGGGGCAAAGCTGGAAGTGGGCAGATTCAGGCTGGATGTGAGGAAGAAGTTCTTCCCCATGAGAGTGGTGAGACCCTGGAATGGGTTGCCCAGGGAGGTGGTTGAGGCCCCATCCCTGGGGGTCTTTAAGGCCAGGCTGGAGGAGGCTCTGGGCAGCCTGATCTAGTGGGAGGTGTCCCTGCTCATGGCAGAGGGGTTGGAACTGGGTGACCCTTGTGGTCCCTTCCAACCCTGACAGATTCTGATCTGTTTTAGCAGAGGACTTTAGAGCCCTAATGGCTCAATGGTTGGACTTGATGATCTTGGAGGTTCCTTCCAACCTAAAGGATTCTATGATTCTATGATTTGAACCATTGAAAACTTGATGTTTGGAAGGCTGATTTTGCTTTTTTTGATGTGGAGTGCAAGCAAAGTTATTTTGTTGTCATCATTGAAGGAGTGGCCTTTGATTATTCAAGAGTAGATCGAATACACTGGCTTACTTTTCTTTGTTTTTTTAGCTGAACACAATGTCAAATGCAGTTTTGACAGCTGTATTCTAGAGGTATTTAAAACATTTTAGTAATTTATGTTTAAAAATGAAAAACAGTTTTCAGACTTTCTTTTTTTAGCTGCAGTATTCTACTTAAGCGTTGTGCAGCCTGGTTTTGGCTGATGACCTCTTCAGGAGAGGTTAAATATAAGATCTCATTATTTTTAAACATAGATTATTTGATCATTTCTTTCTGGTAGAATTCTATTTTTTGTTTGTTTATTGTATAGAACAAATAGAAAGCCCTAGTTAGTGCATGCTCTGTCAAAAATAGAGTTGTTCTCATTTTGTCACTTTCTCCAGGGTTGTAAGTGGAGGCAGCCCATTTTGCTATTTGTTTTATCTTTTTTTTTAGGTTTATTAGAATCTTTCCAACAAACCCATGTGTATTTTTGGGAATTACCAACACCTGTGTAAATTTAATGTATTGAGCAATGATTTTGAAAGTAAGATCTTCCTATATGGTCTTTAGTTTGAAAAAGAGAACATGGTTGAATGCCAAAGAGATGGGGGATTTCTTTGAGCAATAAACACTACTGTATATTGAAATACCCTATGAAACTGTATTTCTGGCCGAAAAATAAAAAGGGTAGTGTAAACAGTTATTGTTGTGGAGTCTTTTGCTGTCCTGAGAAACAGGACATTGAGAAAACACAACTTCAGACCAGGGATCATTTGAAGCCACTTTAAAGAAAGGATCTTGGACTTGGGTGAAATAGATGCTTAGGTTTGTTACTTTGTTCCAGGAAACGGGCCCTGCAATTATTGTTACTTTGGGCGTGGTTCTAAGGTAGCCCTAATTGTATAGCTACACTAGTAGCGAGAGAGGTTGATTACTGTCTAGCCAGGTTCAAACCTTAAAAAAATGTTAGTGCTTTGTGTAGCGATTTCCCTGAGAAGGGGCTGACACGCGGCAGGAGTGCTCGCTCCGCCCGGGCGCGCTTCCAGCCCTCCTGTCCGCATTCAGGAGCCCAGCGTTGTCCATGTTCCGTTTGTAACAGTCTCTACCAGAGCTCTTGTATCCATGGGGAGTCCCTGTTTTACCACTAACCGAAACAAAGTCTCAGCCAGTGAAAGCTCTGATCTTGTCTTGGTTTTGCTGGTTCTGTCTTACATTAAACTAGCCTATTAAAAGCAAAGATGAGGTGTTTTTTCAGGTATCTCAAATGAAATGGAGCAATACTGATCTTTCTAAGTGCGTTCTCACTGTTCTTGAGTAAAAAGAAAAAAAAAAAAAAAGGCATCAAAAAGTAATGTTCTCTTGTCAGGGTTAGGTATCTTCCAGAGGATTAAAAGGGTGATGGTACAAAAACACAGCATAGTATCTTTCATTTAACAGACCATCAACATCAAAGCAGATCTGGAATCGCATACAAATGTGTAAGCTGGAATACAGAGGCAGATCTTAACTCAGGCACACTGCTGGAATTTTTTAAAAGAATATACCAAAGGAGGATTGGTAAGGAATCAGGTTTTTTTTATTTCAGTGTTATCTTCATTTCAAGTATAAACTTGTAATTACTCATGTCATGCTGTGTTGTGGTTTATATTTGCAGCTGTACACAGTATCTAGCTGGCCTTATGGTTCCTTTGCCTTCTGTTTGTCTGTCTGTTGTATTCTAACTTACACACAGTTTTCCTGGGTGATGATCTCCCTTGCTGAGCGTGTGTACGGTAGTGGGATTTGTTAATTTTAGTCAGGAATACCATACAATGTTCCAAAATAAGTTACAGATGAGCTTTCAGAATTTTCTAAAATTGCTCACTGGGATGTGTTGGTGTGTTTTGGGTGGTGTTTTTTTTTGTTGTTGTTGTTTCGTTTTTGTTTTTCCTGCTAGATAGAATAGAGGAGTGGGGGAAAGTCATTTTTAAACTGCTGAAAATGCAGACATTGCTGCTTGGACATGGAGAATGCTTCTCAGTACTTCAGGGCTTGGAGCATAAATAATTTCATTATTTTGTGGGCAACTAAGAGATAAATGTATTTATTAAGAAGAATTACAAGAGAAAAGCAGAAAGACTATAAGCTGCATTAAAAACTTTAAAAATCTACAATATCTGAATACCAAAATGTTCATATATCAAATTATTCAATGTCAAAATATTCAGTTTCAGTAAAGCTTGGTGGTGTCAGTCTGTATAGTTTCCATTTGAAGAAATGATAAAGCTACCCAGGACACCCCAAGATTCAGTTAAAAAAAAAAAAAAAAAAGGTAACTAATAAGCTCATGTCAAGTTTTCTGGATCAAATAAATGTTTATAGTAGTAGGAGGGGAAAAACTGGCTGTAACATTTTTTACTTAGTCTATATTAATGGATAACAACTGTTGTTTCTAACTTTCAGTGGTACCAAAGAATCTGAAACGGAAATTATCCAACATAATCATATTTTGATGTTCTGGATGTTTGGGAGGGTGAACTGGCTGAGGTCACTTATTAACATTAAAATTCATTTTAAAGAGGAATGTGTGCTAAAAAGAAAGACCAGAAAAAATTGTTTTCTATGAGGATATAAGCATAAAAAAGAGAAAAAAATTACTTGAGGATGACTAATTTTTTAGTGGAGCTACATTATAGAAATGTAACTAATTTGCTAAGCTGTTGTGGGAAAAATAGAAATCAAAGATTGAAAAGTGCAGATGTATTACAACACCAATAACTTGAAAGGCAGGGTAAAGCTTGGAATCCAACAGCAGAAGTGCACGCTTCTTGGCATGTTGTCTGACCAGTTTTATTGGTGATTCTTTCTGGGGACTGTGTGCACAAGTGGTTTTCACTGATTTGATTTGTTAATTGGGACATCAGTTGCCATGATGGGCAATTTCTCTGAACACTAAAAGAGTGGCAAAAATGGGTCTGATAAACACATCCTCAGAAGAACACAAAGGCTGGATTTTTTTTTTTTTTCTGTATCACACCACATTTTTTAGCAAGAGGTTGATTCCAACATTTCAGGTCCTTGTGATTCAGAGAGATTACGTTTGGGTGTGTTTTTTTTTTTTTTTTTTACCCAGTGATTTTGCTATTGAAATTTTTTTTCTTGTTGTTGCATCATAAAAGCACTTGGGGAAGATCAGACTCTACCTTCAGGTCCAAAGAACACAGAAAACTTCCTTTTTCGTAGTGAGCAAAGGGTGTCCCTAGTTGTCTGCAGGACTTGCTTCTGATCTTATAAAAGCTAGGTATCTTAGTTAAATATCTGATACTTAAGATTGAAGTCTTCCTGTGAGCTGCATTTGTAGTTGTTTTCTTCTGACTTAGCCACGGATGCAATCTGAGAGAGCGTAAAGTTGTTACGAGATGCTGATACAAAGCAGCAAGGAATACCCAAAAAGCATCAACAGATTAAGTTATGAAAAGTCTTTCTTGTTTGTCAAGAATCTTTCTTCTGCC